GATATCCATAGCAAGGGAAAAACCCGTTTTACTTCAGTTAAACGGTTGTCCGTAGTGAATCAGAAAATTTGTGTTTTTCGAAATTCGAAAGTTTTGAATGCTAAGCGAATTTAATTATTTCTAAAATATAAATCGTGCAGTTGTAGGTTCACTGGTGCATGTATTCCGTTCCAGAGACTTAGGGGTACATGTTAATCTGTGTGATGTTCACGTTTTTTAAAATTTGGTCTTGACAGAAATAAGTTAATTCAAGATGGCGATTCCATTGGTGCTTTTAATATGGACCCCATTGGTGCTTTTAATATGGAACCCAACTCCTCTGGGAGCCCAACCTTTCCGAACCTTCTATTTGCAAGCAGACATTCGTCCGGAGCAGTTTGTGAAAAAGACACTAGGTAGAAAGCCAAATCTTCCTGAGAATATCGAAAAAGAGCTGCTGGAATTTATATTGTTAATGGAGGTCATATTTTTCTATTATAAAAACATTTTTTCGATAAAATACATTGGAGTAAATAATTTTGTAATTATTTAACATTCTTTGTACTTTCCTATTTGTTTTTGGATACATTAAAGCATTTTTTGAAAACACACAGTAAGGTTCCATATTACCACCCGATTTTCTCTAAGCCTACTTTCTTACTTTTTGTACAAAAGCCTTCAAAAACCATACTTATAGTTACACTAGAGAAAAATCCAATTAGGAACAATTTAGTTTAATAGTTACCAGTACTTTTCGCACAAAAAATGTGGGTGTAGTTATGATACCTTGTTTACAATTCACTAAAATGAAAATGGGGTTCCATAATACCACCTTCTCCTCTACTGTTTATGAATAGCGGTCACATAAGGAGGAAGCCATTTTACTTATGGAATTCGCATTAAAAGCTTTTTATCTGTTCAACTCAGCACCCCCAAGAGTAAATCCGAAGTGCGCTACTGGCCTAGACGTACCCATTATGGATATGATTTAAATACTTTTCAGTGTCTGTAACTCACTAAGAGGGCCTTTTAATCATACCAATAGTAAATTTACCAAAAATCAGGGCTGTGGAGTCGCGTAAAAATCTACCGACTCCAACTCCGACTCCGACTCCGTTTCATATACATAACAAGTTGGTAAGTAAAAGGGAGTTGGAGTCGGAGTCGGCGGATTTTTTGACGACTCCGACTCCGACTCTGACTCCTGCTAAAACACCAAAACTCCACGACTCCGACTCCGACTCCGACTCCACAGCCCTGGTTATAACTTACAAATATTCATTGATTATTTGAACTGTATTTAAATTTTTGAAGAAGCACCAAACTATAGAAATTGTGCCCAAATATCAAATGAAATTCTCATTGAATTTCATTTGATAAGTGAGGGCATTTCAATTTGAATTTAATCTAGATTTATTATTTCAGTATATTTAAGACTCTGACTTTGTTCTCCATTATAGGTTAGTTAAGCAATTAGATAAGTGATTTAAATATAGATTGTTTCATCTCGAATTTAGCTATTTTCTAGATTTTATTTAATTATTACAAAGAAGGTCATATCAGTCATATCAGCCGAATGGCCGAATGGTCAAGGTGGCTTTCTCTGGGGGATTCGAGATCGAATCTGGACGGGTTAAAAAAACCCGGGAATTTTTCGGGGGATAAACGGTCCGGATATGTTGGTCCCCATCCTTCACTACCCGGCCTCCCTATTGTTGGCTTAGCGGAACCCATAATGAGCATGCTAAAAGAGGCCCACAGGGCGGAAAGAGTAAAAAAAAAGCCAGATTTCGTTTGTTATAGACGCCGACACATATACACGGAATATCTTTTCTTTTTAGTTCAGGACGTCTCACAACGTGAAGATTTGCAAAAAAAAACTTTGAGGGTCAAATTTGGCACGATTCCAGTACAGTGGGTAATCCGTTAACGAATACTTTCGCGAAAAATTTTTATGTTCGGACTACGAACACGTGATCGGATAACGAACACCCACAGAACAAACACAAGAAGAAGCGACGTAAAATAATTAATACCGATTGGTCTTCCCTTGTCCTCAGACAACAATTCGAAACTTTTTGGGGCGCGGGAGACGTCGACATCGACGCTCAAGCCGGTATATACCGATCGGATAGTATTCCTCCGAACTTTGAAACTTTCCCTTGTAATTCCAGCCTTTTATTTTTCTGACAAAACAATTCTTTTATGTGTTCACGAGGCTGTCGGGTAGGCACTCGTTAGTTTTGCGTCTGTTTTTCTTTTCGAAAGGTAAGAGTATAATAGCAAAGGTAGAGAGTGGGCAGAAGATGCCTAATGTTGCTGGGCAATATGGCGTAAACAGGTGTACAGTAGGCCGCAGTTCAATCTTATCTAAGAAAAATACTGTATAATCGAGAAGACTCAAGCGGCTAAAGGAGTAACAAAAATCACATCTGAGAAATAAAGAACATCGAAGAGCTCATAATGAAACCTGAAACTGATCTGACAACTGATCTGAAAAGTGATCATTTAAGAGTTCTTGGCGAAGAACGCCAAGAACTCTTGAATGAAGAACACCAAGAAACTCGGCGAGATATATTTTCTTCTGAAAAAGAGGATTAATGCCGATATCTGCCATTAAACATCTTTTGAAGAAGTGGGAGGATGTCAGAACAACGGTCTTAGAATGACATCCAAACCAGATTGAGATTAATAAGCTTGAGGATCTCTACAATTTTAATGCTATTAATTACTTCTGAAAAATCCTGAAGAGAAAAGCAATCGACATTAGACAGATTCTTTAACCCTTTCAAACGGAAAAAAACATGACTAATAAAAACGCAAGACTGTGTACGTATGTATTTTTATTATCACATATATAAATAAACGTAGTAAGAAAGTATATTTTTTATTTTTGGGGTCTCCAGAACGAATTAATTAAATTCCCATTCAAATCTATGGTAAATCAATAATCGGTTAACGAACAATTCGGATAGCGAACAACGTCTTGGAACGGATTATGTTCGTTAACCGATCACCTACTGTACTTTCCCTTGTTATGTATACATAACAGCCGGGAAAGTAAAATTAAGAATGTTTAGAAATGCATTTAACTTATCGCAACAGAATATTCTGTCTTGTTTAGAAACGTTTAAATAAAGAGTTAGAGAAAGGAGTGTCTTGTTATTTACTTTCAAAATTTAAAAAAAAAAAAAAAAAATCTAAGTAAGGTCACTTTGACTCGCACCATCTTAGTTAAGGGTTAAAATTCTTTTTTTCCTTTGCACACTTTTACGCGAGTTAGAATATTCTAGCTGGTTGCCTTTATACAATACAAATGACACACCCCTTGACTAAAAATAAAATGGCAGGCATGAATTCAATTTTCTTTCAACATGGCGCCGTTTCAGCCATTCTTTGTAGTATATTCTAGCTCGTTGTTCCAAGGACTGCAGCTCCAGTATTATAGCTCCATGGTCCCTTCATCCCTCACCCATTCTGCTCGACTTCAATATGGGTCATGACTACTTGTAATTAGTGAAATTGTGACCAGCCATACTCTTAAAATGCTGTACTTTGAGTTAATAAAATAATAAACAATAAAGGGAAAATAAAGCAGGGATAACTACAAACTGGGTTTATAAATATACAATAAAACACTAATGAAACCCCGCTTAACGGAAGGATGCGTTCCTAGACGACAAAGCGTTAAGCGAAACATGTTAATTTAAACGAGGTCATTTTAACATAGAGTAAATAGAGAAAGGGAAACACGCGACCAAAAATAAACAAATTTTACTTTAATTTTCAGTTATTTTTATATTAATTTGCATGATAATATATGTTAAATAACACATAAACATACACACAGAAGTGTAAAGTTCATTTTTTGTAATGAAGGTCCTGGCTCTTCTGAAATTCTTGTTTTTTGCGATAAAGTCGTGAAGTTTCATTTGTTGCTTTTTTTCTTTTCTTAAGCAAATGTCGGTAGCAGAAGATCGCATCCTAAACGCCTCGTTTTGCTTTTGCACTCCTTTCAAAGTCTGGATCATTTGCTACAGTTTGATCAACGATTTCGCTTATCGTTATCAAACTTTTATTAAGGAAATCTGTAGAGAAATTCTTTGAGTTCTTCGTTTTCAGAATCTCTGTTTTCCAGTTCTACATGAATTCCATGTTCTGCCAGTTCTTAAAAATCGTCATTGGTAAGGCTCTCACCAGAAACCTGCTGTAACTCCTCAATATTCTGCTCGTCTATATCTCCTAGTCATGCTGTATCGATTAGGTTGAGTTTGGTCAATGTTACGATATAGCGATAGGCTCTTCTCGTTGACAATTCTTGGATACCTTCAGTCATAACTTCTTCTACACTCCACTCATGCATTTATCAGTTAATTCTTGCCAAGTGATATTTCCTACGGCATCCATAATGTTATATTTTTTCCAAAATTGCACAAAAAAAAACATAGATTTAAGGAAAATACAGCCCTACGACAAATTGCCACCTTTTCCCGATTGGTTCGTGTTTGTAAATAATCGTATTATATACGAATCAATGAAATGCCGCGATAATTTGAATCAGAGTAAATTTTGAGCTTTTTTTTTTAGGCTTCGAGCAGACCGCGTTATATCGAATCAGCGTTAATCGGAGTCTTACTGTATTTATATTTCTTCTGTTATTTATTTTATATAATATTTTAATTATTATCATTTNTGATAGGATAAAGCAACACAACATATGGGCGTTTCTGCCAAAGGCGATGCCTTCCGGAAGGACTCTCTACGGAAACTGGCGTCTATTTAGGTGTTAGGTGCAGTACTGTACGTGAAGGAAACCCGGAAATTCCACGTGACCGGCCTGTTGATCGTGCGCGAACCCGCGGCCAACTACCAGTGTTCGGTGGTTTTATCCACTCGCCACTGATGTGTTCTAATATTTTAATTATTATCATTTCACTTAATTTTTATAATTACAGATTTCCATATTAGTAATGTTGTAATAATTTTTATGTTTAATCTATATAAGTTTGAAAGTGAAAATATTTGGCAACACTTATCATATATTTAAAAAAATGGCGGATGACAATGAGCAGGTACGAATAAACCATTAAAGCTTGTATATTTAATTGCGACTTGTTTATAATGATATTTTTTAAATAACAATATTACATTTTAGGGTCCGACAAATTCAGTCGAGGAACCATTAGATCTCATTAGATTAAGTTTGGACGAGAGGATTTATGTGAAAATGAGAAATGACAGAGAATTGAGAGGGAGACTTCACGTGAGTATTTCAAAATCAGTTTAAATATGTCGTTAGCTAAATTTAAATGAATGTTAGACATTGGAACAAATGAAATGCAGAAAAACTTTGGAAAGCTTTTGTTTTTGCTTACAGTTCCAGGTGTGTACTTGTCAGGTGTTTTAAAAACTCTCACTTAAAGTCATAGAAAAGTCAGGTTATTTTAAGAATTTGAAGAACTGACGTATTTTCCACAGAGCACAAACTCATCTATTGTTTTTAGTTTTGGTTCTATTCATGTATGGCAACCGACATGTGGGTGATCTGTTGAGGGAAAATGTCTTTCAAGAGGTTTTTTATGGGAAACTGGCACCTATTTAGGTATTACTAACATGAAGAAAATCTGGAAAACTCCATGTAGCTAGCCTGTTGACCATGCACTATCTCTCAACAAACTAACAGTGTTTGGTAGTTTTATCTACTTAGTCACTGGTGTGCATTAGCATCAATTGCTTTGTTCTTGGATTGTCTCTTCATGTTAGTAAGTAAAAGGATTGTCTCTGTGTGCCTGGGTATTGCAAGGATTGACTATCCTGTTGCCGGCAGATGCAAAGATAACCTCTTTCATGGCGGAAAGTGCAAAGTTCTTTTGTCTGCAACTGTCAGGTACAAGGATTGCCATAGCTGTTTCTAACAAGTGCAAGGATTGCTTCTTTGTATCCATCTCAAGGCTCCACTTCAATTCTATCATGATACGACAAAGTCGTGCAATGTCCTAGTTAATATTACTTTCACATTTTGATATTTGTATTCTGATACAAACATATGACCACTAATTGAAAAGGTATATGGGGTCAATGCAAGAAAGAGATTGGAAATTTCTGTTTTAATGTCAGTTAATAAAATCAGAATGTCCAGTAATTATTAGTTTTTTATTTTATTTTACTTACTCCCCCAGTTGTCATGAGTATAGGGGAGTTCCAAAGTGATTACAATAAGCAAACTTTACTGCATTTGTTTAGTGACATTAATACATTCTATTATAACTGAACTGTGGTTTATAGCAATTTTTGAAGTAAAATTATCGTTATGGATGAAAAACATTACAAAAACAACTTTTACATTCCTAAATAAATGAGTATGAAGAATAAATATCATCATTATATGTAAACCTGAAGCATGCAAAAGTAATATGTGGATGGCTAAGAGAGTTAAAGCATCAGCCAACTGCTCTGGGGACCCAGGATTAAATCTTGTTGAGTAGCTCTCCAGGAATTTTTCACAAGTGATCTGTCCTGGATATGTCCGACTCCATCTCTCATCATCAGGCCTCCATTGCAGGCTTGGTTGAATCCACAATCAATATGGAAAAAGGCCCTCTTAATACCCAAACAGTGGAAAGAGAAAAAAGTGGAAAAAAGAATCTTTCTCTTATATATCAAAGAATGAAATCAAGACTTAAAGAAAAGGAAGAAATATTTGACATAGATAAGAACTGAACTATTATTTTGATAATATATCAAAAGGTTATATCAGGGTTGGCAAACCTTTGTCATGCATGTCCAAAGGAGAAATACTCTGGCATATAACATATACCTTTTACTATTAAATTTCACTTTTTATTGTAGTTTTATATTCAGATCAGTATATCATCATACTTCTCTCAATCAACATCTTTAAATTTATTGTAATTAAAGCATATTCATTACATTTATTTGAAAATTGTTATTTGAAATCTAAAACTTAAGCAGACAACATTTTACAAAAAAATTATGCTTACTATGTAGGACAGGGACTCAAAAAGGTTTGCCATTCCTGGATTACATCATCTATTGTGGGTTGGCAATCAATGGCACATGGGATGATTTTCGGTGGCACACTCATTGAATAGAAATAAAGTAAAAATTATATTTTACTTATTAATTACATACTTAAATGAAAGCCATAGTTCAGTATAGCCCATGGTACATTAAAAACTAATCTCTTGCTTGTATATTTATTTATTTATGCTTCTGACACAATATAGTGCTATAAATTAAGACACTTGGCGGATTTTCTCATCTTTATTTAGTTGATACGTGTGGAAAAAATTACACGTTTCGAGCTCTTAAGCCCCTCTTCAGTCAACTAAAACATTTAAAAAGGATATAACATACACATAAANAATTGGACGAATAGTTTCAGAGATTACCTGCTCCATCCAAACTTACTTACTTACTTACAAACATTACCTCTTTATAATATTAGTATAAACAATATATGAAATATTATCAATTTAAGAGAAAGTATGGGAATCAATTTCGAAAGCCGTTCTTGTGGTTAAGCATTAATGCTCTCTCTCCCCTCCCCCTTTCTTAATGGGTGCGTATACTTTTAGCTACTTTTAGCTCCCTAGCGCTCTCAGCCTGTATACTTTTTGTTAGCTACCAACGAGCACGGCGTATACTTTTCGCACCAGTGACGTCATTGCTAGCATTTCTAGCGTGCTCGGCGTGCCTGGAGAACTTACAACGAGCTTGGCGTTAGTTCAAAGATAGCGGCGTCCATGTACAACGTTACTGTTTCTTTACCGGACGGAAAAGAAGTTCAATTACGCGTTAATGAAGTCGTTTGTCGTCAGATGATGGAAGGTAAGTAAAAAGGGATTCCTAAAAGTGTATAATTTTATATCATAAATCCTATTTCGATAACAGAGGCTTCATTACAGATATAAATTATGCCAGAGAATTGGCTTTGACGACTCTTTCCACTGCTTCAGTTGGACCAAGTATCCCTGCTGGTAAGTCAAATTTTGATTTCGAATGAAATTGTTGAAAGGATAAACCGATAAACTAAGATCACGATGTAACTAGCGCTGATTGTTAAAAAATTTTAGAATTTTTAATCTGTTATAATAAGGGCTACATATGCTAAACATTTTCTATCTTTTATTATAGAGAAACCCTGTGGCTTCCAGTGGCCCAAAGCCAGGACCATTCAATTAATTTCCTTATACAACGAACACAAAGAGAAATTTGAATTACCTCAATATACAAATATTTAGGTTGTAGCCTACTGCTTGTCAAATTAACATTGTAACTGTGAACCTTTCATAAATAATTTCTAACAACTTTTTTTAATATTATAGATATGGAGGATAATATTAAATAAGTTAAACGATGAAGGGTTTTCAGTCACTCCAGCCCAGGTTGACACCAAATGGCAAGGACTGAAAAAAACATTAAAAAAAATCAAGCTCCACAATTCCAAATCCGGTAACAACCGGAAACATTTGGAATTTTTTTCTTTAATGGATGATGCCATTGGGAGACGGCCTGGAATTTCCTCTGTTGCTACTTGTAGCAACACAGATGGAGTGAGAGTAAATTCACACTCAAGTTCCACTCCATCATCCCCATCAGGTCCTGTCGCCTGCGTGTCATCCCNAAAGAAAATTTTTTGGTTTTGTTTACACGTTTATTGGGCCGCATTGGAACTTGCCTTGGGCCGCATGCGGCCCGCGGGCCGCGGGTTGGACACCCCTGTCATAGACCTTTTGTATCTGCAACTGTCCAATAGCATGTGGTGCTGCTGGATAAGTATCATGCATGTGTTTTTAAGTAACTCCACAGGTAAAAATGCTGAGAAGTCAAGTCTGAGAATGTGTTGGTCATGGAATTGGTTCTGTTAATCAGTTGTCAAATATCTCTGCAAGACTCATGCATATCACTCTAGGGATGAGCTGGAATACCATTTGTGCTGACATCAAACTACTGTAGTTGCATCAATGGCAAGTCATGAAGCCATTCATCCACCATTGTATCTAGAATGTTTAGATATTAATCATTCATCAGATGGTCATCAATGGATATGAGACTAAAAAGCTGCTTATGCCAAATTCCACAACATCTGTTTAGGACAAGACATTTGGTGTTGCTTATATCGGGTGCATTGTGGAACACACACTGCCCAATGGTGCACACTGTAATGGTTATACACTCAATCCTAGGAAAACAATTCCCTGTTAATCCATAAAATGTGTTAAAGTATATGATGTGCATTTTTCAGCATTGTATGAGTGTATGCATTACACACGTATTACACACGTGTACACTTTCCAGTATTACTCATGTAATACTGGAAAGATGTTTAAATGGACACACTATGTAAGATATAATTTTTTTATTAATTCATAATAAACCAGCTTACAGATATAAATATATGCTAAGACAGTTTTACAAAGTTTACATATTTTCATTTTAAATAAATATTTTATGATAACTATTTGTGCTATTCAGAAATATTCATAATTGAAGCTTATGGTGTAATACAAGGGTCAACTCGCAGCCCTCGGGCCGCATGCAGCCCAATATACGTATAAACAAAACCAACAAATTTTTTTATTATTTATTTATTTCAACAGCATAAACCTCAAAAAAGAAGTTTCACAAAGCCGTAAACCTTTACACATTTTATTTTTTAATAGAAAGGAAATATTTTCAAATACTTGAAATCTGTGAATGAGGAAGAAATACTAAATAAAGCTGGAGTAGTGACTCAAAGAATTATGGCCCCAAATTTGGGGAAAGAAAAGAAAGGCCAAAAGATAAAAAGAAGTGAGAAAGGTTGAAAAATTAAGGATAAATATTTGCATAACAGAAGGTCTATTTAACCTTTTCACTTCTTTATTTTTTGACCTTTCTGTCCTTTCTCCGAATTTTGGCCTATAATCCTTTGAATACCAACTCTAGCTTTATTTAACATTCCTTTCAGCGTTGCAAGATTTGGAAACTTTGTGCCAAATTTGTCTATCTTTTTTTAGTTTGGCATAAAAAAATCATTTGGTGCATTAGGCTACATTTTGGGCTACATATTATTTATAAATATATTTGTTGAAAAAAAATGCACTTTAGAATGGTGTTTCGTTAGATATAACACGTTGAATTTTCACATTGATATTCGACTCTCTTTAACCTGAAGATGACANTAGAAATTAAAAATGTCTGTGAAGTAATTTTTTAAAATATCCTTTTTCATGATAAAGTTTTAATACTTTTTACTAT